TCTACATATTACAAACGTCAGTGTCTCTGATGAGGGAATATACTACTGTGCGAAAAGAGAAATGAAAATAAGTAAAGATGTACACGGCATCATAAATAATCAATTTGAATACGAATATGGAAACAAGACAACTCGTCTATCTGTCTTGGGTGAGAAAACATTTTCACTGTTGTTCATGTTGATTTGTTTTGTTTGAACAAACCCATTTCTTTTATTTTCATTATATTTTTTAATATAGTTAACGACAAGTCTTGCACATATACAGTATTTATGCTGACACAATCCTGCAGTCAAACTTAAAACTGCAGGAAACTGCATCTATGTATAAATATTTCAGTAACACTACAATACGGGTGCACTAATGTGCATTAATTCATTCTTAACTAATGCACAGATAATCCTGAATTAAAACCATTCATTAATGATTACTACATCAGCAACTATTAAAGAGTCTATCTGATTAATAGATCAAGTTATATATGAATTGCTATTAATTAAATGTGTCATCATGTATTAATTCCTTAACAACATATAGTATTAACTAATAGGTTAAATTTATGTGTTAATTACCAATGGATCAAAGCTATATGTTTCAATTTCCAGCTGTCTGCTTTCATTAATCATTAGCAAATGATTTACATCATTACATATGACTTTACTTGTTGAGGCACATGACTATTAGCTCATTTGGAAGTTGAAATGCATAGCTTTGACCCATTGCGGTAATGAACATGTTAATTTACGCTATTAGTTAATACTATACATTAACTCATGTGTGCATTAGTTAATATATGTTTGTATGAATGTTTGTTAATAAAAGGTTTATGCATACTTAATTTAGATTTGTATTATTTTAACATTAATAAACAACAAAGAAATTGCAATATATTTTCATATCTAAATGCCGATACGATTTATTAGGCATCATGCTTGGCAAATGGAAAATATATGCAATATTAAAGATAATTTTAATGGTAATTAAAAATTTTAATAGGATGTTAAAATAAAATGTACATATTAATTGAACTTTAATATGTCAGCATTTAGGGTCAGCAATGTATTTTTTTTCTTTGTGGTGCTGATACTGCTGACTCACTGTTCGTGCAAATGAAGGTAAGAGTACAAACCACAAATGTTTCCACTTGAGCATGCAACAGTAAATATCATGAAAGTGTTTGTGTTTAACCTGGTGTGGCTGCATGCTGGACATGCACATGAATGTAAGTGTGAAAACAGACAAAAACAGAAAGAAGCATGTTGGAAAAAGTTAACTGCAAGGTGTTAATAAATGTAAGTGTACTGTATAAACTTACTCAATCAGGTAATCAGGAAATTCTTCAGATACAAAAAAAATTGACACAGACCACAGATGTATGTTGCATAAAATGACATTAAGCATAGACAAAGAACAGTCGGCAGTTCTAGTTTGTTTTATTACTACAAATGCAATGGTATTAGATGACACTTAAACCTCTGAATATAATCAGGCTTTTGTATTTTAAAGCAGCAGTTATCCAAACAGCATGACTGCTTTGACCAATACGTTTTTAATCCCAAAAATTACAATTTCAGTTGTATTTGAGTTGTATCTGAAATCATTTTAATTTGTCGTGTAGTTATAGGCATTTTTAGGTTACAGCGCCACCTTTGGGCTAAAAAAATCTAAGCTAGCATGCTTCCTCGAGTGTATGCTATGCTAAGCTTTGTGACAACATACTTATTGCCTTTTAAATAATTTTTAATTAGGCCACGTCCAGAACAGTTCATTTTCCTGAGGTTGCTGTTTTGATCTCAAGTTCTTGTTGATCTTATGTTCTTAATTACTGTTTACATTGGAACTCTAGAGAAATAATTAGAGAATTAACTGAAATTACAGGCATATTGAGATGAGCTTTAAGGGCTAGTTAATTAAAAAATTTATTCATCAAAAAAGTTTGACATGAATATGTTTTGAGACAAAGTTGCTCAATAAACTTGGGTTTTCAGTTAAAACATGTTGAAAATGTTTACAGTGTGGTAAAACTAGAAGTATTGCAAAAAAGTAATAAATGTGTAATTACCACCTTTACCATTTTTCTATATGCAGTTTTAGTGACAAGAACATCTAATGGATTTTCTCATTTACTAGATTACTTGTTTAAGATAGAAAAGGAATGTATTTTAGACATTCTTCAGTTAATGAGAAATTTGCATTATTTTGTCATATCACACCTGTCCTTACAACTTTGGAATATAGTGAATATAATTAAGTAGAACTTCAGCACATTGGACAGCTCCAAGTGCTGAACACGTGAGACATGAATTACTGTGCCTTCTATCTTACTTTGGAACTTAATGGGTACTTTTTTGAAATGAGACTCAATGACTTACTTTATTCAAGACTTTTTTTGAAGAGTTCACCCCAAAATTTGCTGAAAATGTACTCACCCTTAGGCCATCCAAAATGTAGATGAGTTTGCTTCTTTGTAAATTTATGTAAATGTAAATTTAGCATGACATCACTTGCTCACCAATGGATCTCTTCAGTGAATGGGTGCCGTAAAAATGAGAGTTCAAACAGCTAAAAAAAGCACAAGTAATCCACATGACTCCAGTCCATCAATGCACATCTTTTGAAGTGAAAAGCTGCGGAGGGGAGCTCCGACTTCTACATCACGGCTTCGGGTGAGTGGAATATGGAGGGCGGTCAGTGCCAAAACGAGGAGGAGAGACCTCGGGATCCCCAGTCCAGCCCAGGAACCCCTAAATTTGCTGAAAATGTACTCACCCTTAGGCCATCCAAAATGTAGATGAGTTTGCTTCTTTGTAAATTTATGTAAATGTAAATTTAGCATGACATCACTTGCTCACCAATGGATCTCTGCAGTGAATGGGTGCCGTAAAAATGAGAGTTCAAACAGCAAAAAAAAGCACAAGTAATCCACATGACTCCAGTCCATCAATGCACATCTTTTGAAGTGAAAAGCTGCGGAGGGGAGCTCCGACTTCTACATCACAGCTGAGGGTGAGCAGAATATGGAGGGCGGTCAGTGCCAAAACGAGGAGGAGAGACCTCGGGATCCCCAGTCCAGCCCAGGAAGGGCTCCTGATCTTCCATTCAGCCCAGAAAGGGCTCCTGATCCCCAGTCTAGCCCAAGAAGGGCTCCTGATCCCCAGTCTAGCCCAGGAAGGGCTCCTGATCCCCAGTCCAGCCCAGGAAGGGCTCCTGATGTTTCGTTAAATCTCCGCCTGTCTGCTCTGCCTGCCATCCCTTTGCCTTCCCCTGTCACCATCTCACATCCACTGCCTTGTCCTCCTCCTAGTCCCCCTCCGCCCCTCCCTCTGTTTCTACGGTGCAAGGACGCACCTTCCGGGAGGGGGGAGTAATGTAACACCCCTGTGGACTGTTTGTTGTGGTTTCTTCCCCTTGTGTTGGTTTAGCCCGTCTAATTATTAGTTAATCACCTCATTGTGCTCACCTGTCTGTCCCTCGTTAACTGCCCTATATCTGTTCTGGTCTCTTGTGTTCTAGCTTGTCGGTTATTGTGAATGTTACCCCGAGTGTGTGTCTGTCTCTGCCTTGTTGTTGCTACATTAAATATCCTTCTTTTGAATCCTTGTCGTCCTCGTCATCCTGCCTGCCTCCACACACCTGGACCGTGACAGAAACGTATTGGATACATAAATTAGATGCTCTCTCATATCCTGGTCTTAATGAAGATTTTTCTCCATTTTTGTAATGGTTAGATTTGTTTGTAGGTGCTTTTTATTGGTCTTTGTTCAATTGAAAAAATGTTTTTAAACTGTAATGTCTTTTGAGATATGAATTTTGGGTTGTATGTTTCCTTTTTTTCCCCTCCTTTTGGGATGGTTTGATATTTGTAAATACCCAATAGACATCTAGTGATTAGATCCTGAAAATGTATAGTCACAGATGTATTTATTCAGAGAAAGTTTTTAAAATCCTAAGAGACATCTAGTGGTTAGACCTTGAAAATGTATAGTCACAGGTGTATCCATTTAACTAGTTCTCATTCTCTATTGCTTAACACCCTGACGAAGGCCTGTTTGGGCTGAAACACGTTGTTTTTTTTTATATGTAGCCCTGTCTTACAATAAAGGCTTTTTATATTTTGCCTGCTATGTGAGTGCCTGGACGTGAATTTTTGTTTTTGTTTCTTGCAATGGGATCCACTTTTTATTTTCGACATTAAAAATGTGTGTTTAAATGATAAACTGCGGAACTACAGTATGCCAGACTTTTCATTTAAAAAAAAAAAAGTCAGTTCTTTTAAGATGAAGTCAGTTCTTAATAAAACAACATTGTGTTTATATAAGAGATTAAGCTTAAAATGAATTCATAGTTTATTTTGATATCCATAAGAACACACAGAAAACTTCCCTAGTGCATGAATTAATGAGAGCTAGATGCTTTCATGCAAATACACACACTTTAACAAACACACAAAAGCAAACAAAGGCTAAAGGGAACATTTCTGTTTGGTGAGCATTGATCTACAAGAGTTATGAAGTTTGATGACGTGTAAAAGCAACAAATGTGAGGAGGTTGTAAGTGGTCTGAATGAGGCCTGTGGGTTTCCTGTTTTGACATGTTTAGATGTTGCTGCATCATAGCTTCTTATTTTGATCAACTATAGTAAAACAAAAAAGAACCCCACAAATTGTACACTAACCCTCCAGTTCAAAGCTAATTAATTTACTCATGGCATGTCAAATGTAAAGCACATAATATTGGGCTTATCTGCACACACACAAAACATCTTAAATATTATAGTCTCTTTTAAAAATCGTCTCTCTGCATATCTGTCAGATGATGAAAAGTTTTAAGATTTTCATGGTCACAAAGACAAATCAGAGCAAAAAAAAATCTATAAGGTAATGGATTATTGGTTAATACTGCTCTCACTCTTCCGATGTTCACACAATAACCTAATTTACTGCCGAAACCTCATGACGCGGGCAGCTTTAGGTAAAACTTTCCACTGACCTGAACCAATCAGATGAGAGCTGACGTCTACATTGAGACCCTCACCAGTGTCAGTTATTCACAATCGCTCACTAAGATGGAGAGGCCAAGACTTGCTCTCATTGTGCTTATGTGTAAGAAAAACTATACTTCAGCTGTTTTTAGTGTGAATATTTTGGTATGGTAGTATGATTTGAAATGCTTCATGTAGTTATTTTGTGCTTTTACAGTTTTACTGTTCCATCAGACAAGAATCTATGGAGAAGAAGTGGAGATGACAGTCAGACCAGGAGACAACATCACTCTCTACTGTGATCGCTCTGTAACTTTTGGCTTCAGCATTGAATGGATAAGAAACTGCTCTCATGAAAATCAACCCTCTCTCATAATAGATTTTAGGAAACTAGACATGGAGATATTTCAACGTTTCAGCTTTATCCACAACAGCTACAATAATTCTTATGATCTACATATTACTAACATCAGTGTCTCTGATCTGGGACTGTACTACTGTGTGGAAGAAGCGAATAAGCTACATGAAGATGAACAAGGCCTCATCTCCCAATCTATCGTGTACTATAATGGAAACCGAACAACTCGTCTCTCTCTGGAAGGTAAGAATACACTTCTGCTAGTTATATCATCGCTTGTGTAATTCTCAAGAACTTTACTTTTCTCATGGAAAAATCAAGATGAACAGAACACAAATATGTTTATTAACATTCATAGATACATTTGTGTTTATTTTATCTTGAACAAGTGACTTCCTGTTCTGAGCCCTCTGCACCTCCTGACTGTGTGCTCTGCTGGATGCTGCTGTTCAGTGTGTGTCCGGTGTGTGTTCTCCTCTTCTCTGTCTGTGTGTTCTGCTTCTATTGTAGGAAAATGACAGGTAATTATTCACAGGTTAATACTCTTCTTTAGCACTACTAATTTACACAATACTTTAGACAGCTTTTGTCAATGAGCACAAAAAAAAAAAAACCTGCATCAGTTGAAATGTTCTAATTTAAATAATCAATTTTAGATTCTGCTGCTGATCAAAAAGACAAGCCGAAAAGTAGAAACATTGTTGTGGTATGACCTATGCAAATATTTACCCACCACATGGAATATATAATTTTACTGCATATATAATAAATATGTGATATATAATAAAAACAAAACATACATTTTTATTCCAGGAGAAAGATGATGAAGAAGTGTGTTATGCATCTGTAAACGTGATGACCAGGAGACAACCTGACTGTGTGCTCTGCTGGATGCTGCTGTTCAGTGTGTGTCCGGTGTGTGTTCTCCTCTTCTCTGTCTGTGTGTTCTGCTTCTATTGTAGGAAAATGACAGGTAATTATTCACAGGTTAATACTCTTCTTTAGCACTACTAATTTACACAATACTTTAGACAGCTTTTGTCAATGAGCACAAAAAAAAAAAAACCTGCATCAGTCGAAATGTTCTAATTTAAATAATCAATTTTAGATTCTGCGGCTGATCAAAAAGACAAGCCGAAAAGTAGAAACATTGTTGTGGTATGACCTATGCAAACATTTACCCACCATATGGAATATATAATTTTACTGCATATATAATAAATATGTGATATATAATAAAAACAAAACATACATTTTTATTCCAGGAGAATGATGATGAAGAAGTGTGTTATGCATCTGTAAACGTGATGACCAGGAGACAAAAACGGCACAAGAAAACGCGAGAGCAGAGTTCAGATTTCACTACTTACGCTCCTGTCAGAATAGAAATGGAATAGATTCAAAAGTTGCAGGAGCCAATATAATTGAAACATCATGTTATTAGCATGTTTGTTGGTTAAAATTTGATTTGTGTCTGTGATTATCATATAATGCTTTCATTATGCATATAATGCATATTATGCATATATAATGCTTTTTATAGGCAATAAAGTATGCATGGCTGCAAAACCTGAAAACTTGAGTGCTGTCTTACAACTCCGAAGTAAATGAAAACTTGTGGTATGACCTATGCAAATATTTACCCACCACATGGAATATATAATTTTACTGCATATATAATAAATATGTGATATATAATAAAAACAAAACATACATTTTTATTCCAGGAGAAAGATGATGAAGAAGTGTGTTATGCATCTGTAAACGTGATGACCAGGAGACAAAAACGGCACAAGAAAACGCGAGAGCAGAGTTCAGATTTCACTACTTACGCTCCTGTCAGAATAGAAATGGAATAGATTCAAAAGTTGCAGGAGCCAATATAATTGAAACATCATGTTATTAGCATGTTTGTTGGTTAAAATTTGTGTCTGTGATTATCATATAATGCTTTCATTATGCATATAATGCATATTATGCATATATAATGCTTTTTATAGGCAATAAAGTATGCATGGCTGCAAAACCTGAAAACTTGAGTGCTGTCTTACAACTCCGAAGTAAATGAAAAAACCCATAAGGGCCAGTAAGTCTTGCTAACTGTCACGATCTCCAGCTGGAGTGCCCATGAACTCCACCAGAGGGCACTCAACCCCTGACTCTTGCCACTCTACCCTGGACTACATGTACCATAATCCTTTGCCCGGACTTAGCATCCATTGCAATCACCTGTATCTCATCACCCCATCAGTCTCACCCTTTTTAAAGCCTGGTTTTTCACTCATTCATTGCTTAGTCTTGCAAGTGGCTGTCTGCTGTTCTTAGTCTTTGTTTTCTGATTCCTTTGTTGTGTTTAATATCTTTGTCTGGTTTCCTGGTCATCCTGATTGTCTAAAGTTTTCTGCCCTGATCGTATTTGTTTGGACTGACTAACCTGTTTATGACCTTATGCCTCTTTATGGACTATGGCTTTGGATTACCCCTGAAATAAACTGCATTTGGATCCTCAATCTTTGTGTTCCTGTGCAGATCGTGACACTAACATTGCACTTATATGTTGTAGTTGGACATGATTTATTGATCTTCACTTGTATTTTGTTAAATTACACCATCTTAAAGACTGTCTCATATGTTTCTGTCTCATAATTTAATGTAGCTAATTTCAGCTTGATGGACATCTGTCAGTGTCAGTTTAACCATAGAGCATTAGCAGAAGTTATTTGAACAAGTGCTGCTCTCCGTCAAATATGTGCACTCTAACCTACACTCAAAACCACACAAAGGTAACGGAAACATTTGTGCCTGCTGACCAATGATCAACTAAGAGATGTGAAGAGAGAGTCTCACGACATGTTGCAAATGTGAAGTGTTTGTAAGCGGTCTGAATGAAAACTTGTGGGTTTCCTGTTTTGACATGTTTAGATGTTGAACTGAACCTATTACAATAAAACAAAGAACCTCATGAATTTTGCAGGTGAACTTTGATTCAGATACTAGACACTCATGACAGGCGTGAACTGACTAGCTGATTGCATGTGAAATGTAAAGTACAAAGTGTTCCAAATAAGGATGTTAATCTGCATGTCTGAACCACAGATATCGCTGAACATATCTATCAGATAATCTAAAGTAATCTTGAACATTTCAATTTTCATGAACCAATCAGGTGGCTGATCACAATGCCAAATCAGAGCCAAAAAGTCTATAATTGTAACTGGGGAGTGGTTAAAACTGCTCTCATGCTTCTTACATCCAAACCACAACTCGATTTACTGCCAACCCCTTATGAAGAAAGCCATTTTAGGAAAGATTTTCCACTGACCTGAACCAATCAGATGAGAGCTGACGTCTACATTGAGACCCTCACCAGTGTCAGTTATTCACAATCTCTCACTAAGATGGAGAGGTCAAGACTTGCTCTCATCGTGCTCATGTGTAAGAAAAAGTATACTTTGTCAGTAGTTTTTGAGAGTTTTTTGAATGACAGTGTCACTGCTGTGAATATTTTTGCATAATTGTACAATTTGAAGTGTTTTTTAAAGTTGTTTTGTTCTTTTATAGTTTTACTGTTCCATCAGACAAGAATCTATGGAGAAGAAGTGGAGATGAAAGTCAGACCAGGAGACAACATCACTCTCTACTGTGATCGCTCTTTAACTTACGGTTCCCTCATTTTATGGATAAGAAACTGCTCTCATGAAAATCAACCGTCTCTCATAATAGATTTTACGAAATGGGAACTGAAGATATTTCAGCGTTTCAGCGCTATATACAACCGCTACAGCACCTCTTATGATCTACATATTACTAATATTAGTGTCTCTGATCTGGGACTGTACTACTGTGCAGAACAAGAGAATAAGGTAAATAAAGGTGAAAGAGGCATCTTCTCCTCATCAGATGTGTACTATTATTGAAACCGAACAACTCGTCTCTCTCTGGAATGTAAGAAAACACTTCTGTGAGTCATTATTACATCGTGTAATTCTGAAGAACTTTACCTTTCTCTGTGAAAAAACAAGATGAACAGAACAAAAATATGTGTATTAATACATTTTTGTTTATGTTGAACAAGTGACTTCCTGTTCTGAACCCTCTGCACCTCCTGACTGTGTGCTCTGCTGGATGCTACTGTTCAGTGTGTGTCCAGTGTGTGTTCTCCTCTCTTCACTCCTGTCCTCTATCTGTGTGTTCTGCTTCTGTCGGGCTCAAACTACAGGTAACTAATTTCCTTGACACCGTTTTCCAATATAAAACCTAATGTTTTTGCACTGAAAAAAATGGTAACCTAAAAATAAGGATAGGAAATATAAATTTAAGGGAAGCTGCATTACAATTATACAGCAATATTTATGTATTTAGATGACACTGACATTTTTATGTGTTTAAGAGCACATGTGTGCTGAAGTTCCTGTGTTTAGACCTGCATTATTTTCTCATTTTACTGGCATATATTCATATGGTATTTAGGTTCTGCATGGAGTGCAGAGATACTCACAGCGGATGTTAATAAGGTATCTATATTATTATTTGTTTTCTGTAAATTTTCAAGCTTTCCCTAGTGAAAAATAAATATACTAAAATGTGTTTGAAATACATTTATTTCATGCTAAGTATACTACAAATACATTTACATTTTTATGTACTAAATAAAAATACCCTGCAATTGTACTTTTGGTAAACTGGTATACTTAAAGTCTGCTAAATTGAAACTCATTTTGTGCTCAATACACTTTAATTGTGCGGAAGTATAGTGCTGAAGTCCAACTAAAGATATACTGAAGTATATTTGATTATGCTAAATTGGAACTATTGCAAGTATACTTTAGGTACACTTTAAATATCTTGCATTTTAAGACCAATATTATTCAAAGATCATACAGTCCTTATTAATAGTGACATTAAAACACATTTTAGGCTTAATATTAAGTATGCATTGTGCACAAGTAGCACTCCAAATGAAATTTAATTATAATTATTATATTAGTAAGTCTCGAGCGATATGTCAATAAATATGTTAATAAATTTGAGCTATACTTAGTATGAAATAAATTTATTTTAAATATATTACTTTTTCACTAGGGTTGCAATGTCAAAGTTTGTCTCATGTGCATCTCCTGTTCATTTCAGGGGGATCCTATGGAGAATCATCAGTGTGAGATGAGTAAGATGGGAAAGATCTGCCTCCACACTGAAGCCTCTTATAGATTATTGACCTCTACACATCCCTATGCCAAGATGTGATTCTGCCTGCTCAATTTATACAATTTACTGCAAACTTACTGCCTACTATCGATCACTCTTTTTGTGCTCAGCAATTTCAGATTTGATTCTGAACTTGTGTTTTTCTTAAGCATGCTTTTTTAACTACATTTAGTATGCATGCATACACATGCAACAAACTTGGAACACATTTTTTAATAGAATTATACATTTACATATGTAATTTTCCATAAAGCAAAACATATTCACAAAAGGTAAATCACTTTTAAAAATGTTGAAATAAAATACTAGCAAAATAGAAAAAAGTTTCCAGTATTAATTTTGCTATTAAATGTTATTTGCCCATTTTCTGCTTGTAAATTTTATTTTCATTATAAAATAACAATAATTATATTTCTTAGGGAGAGAGAGAGAGAGAGACTTCAAATAATAATTAGGTGTTTATTAGCCGCAGTAAAAAAAAAGTCCTTCTGTGCCATAAGAGCTACA